TTTCTGGACGAACCGAGCGGCTCTCTGTCCTTCTACAGCGTCTCTGACACACACACACTCACACACTTACACACATTCACACACACATTCACTCAACCTCTACACGCTGGATTTGACCTTTATCCAAACTCTTCAGTGTCTCTGTGTCACATTAAACATTAAACACACACACTCACACACACACACACACACACACACACACATTCACTCAACCACTACACGCTGGATTTAACCTTGATTATTCAAACTCTTCAGTGTCTCTGTGTCACATTAAACACTAGACACACACACACACACACACACACACAGACTGATAAATATGTGTAAAATAATATGTAATATTTACACTGTTGTCATATTTCTCAGGCTGTATTTTCAGGAGTTCATTTAATTTTAGTGTTATAGAAATCAGAATAAAATTACTTCATCATCATCATTATTATTATTATTATTATGTGTTTGAAACCAACATTCAAAGCACTGCTGGAGAAAAGTGTGTTTATGCAGCTGTACATTAAAAACATTCTTTTGAAGCATTTAACGCTCCGCGTCTCTTCATTTCTGGGTCACACTTGCTGCTTGAAATGTAAGATTTTTTTGTTTGTTTGTTTTTCTGGAAAATCAATGTCACATTTTTGTTCAGTAATATTCAGAATTTTTTATTTTGAATTTTGAGCAAATTTTATGATACTATTCAATAATTATATAACATTTTATGAGATTTTTTCCATCAAAATGTATTTAAACTAAATTTTTTCATTTTTGGGTCACACTTTTTTTTTTCTTTAGGAAAATCAGTGTAATATTTTTGTTCAATAATATTTTGAGTTTTTTATTTTGAATTTTGAACAGATTTTATGATAGTATGAAATTATTATACCATTTTTATGAGCTATTTTTTCTATTAAATAAATTAAACTGAGTCTCTTCATTTCTGGGTCACACTTGCTGCTTGGAATGTAAGGTTTTTGTTTGTTTTTCTGGAAAATCAATGTAATATATTTTTGTTAAATAATATTTTGAGTTTTTTATTTTGAGTTTTGAGCAGATTTTATGATACTATTCAATAATTATATAAAATTGCAAAAGCAGTGATAGAGGGGAAAAAAAGTGTTTATACAGCTGGACTTCAGATACATTTTTTTGAAAACATTTAATCGTCTGCAGCCTCTTCATTTTAGGAAAATCAGTGTAATATATTTTTGTTCAATAATATTTTTGGATTATTATTTTACATTTTGAGAGGATTTAATGATACTATGCAATATTTATATAATTTTTATTAACTATTTTTTCCATTAAACTCCAAGCCAATTCATTTTTGGTTCACATTTGTTAATGAAATCTAAGTGTTTTTTGTTGTTGTTGTTTTCATCAGGAAAATCAGTGTAATATATGTTTGTTCAATAATATTTTTTGATTATCATTTACAATTTTGGTGGGATTTTATGATAATATTCAGTATTTATAAAAAAAAAAATCATGAGCTATTTTTTTCCATTAAAATTAATTAAACTCTGAGTCACTTCATTTTTGGGTCCCATTTGGTAATAAAATCTATGAGTTTTTTGTTGTTGTTTTTGTTTTTTTCATCAGGAAAATTTATCTAATATTTTTTTGTTCAATAATATTTTTTGATTATTATTTTAAATTTTGAGAGGATTTAATGATATTATGCAATATTTACACAATTGTTATTAGCTATTTTGTCCATTAAACTAAGTTTATTTGTTAATGAAATCTAAGTATTTTTTTGTTGTTTTTTAAGCATCAGGAAAATCAATTTAATATATTTCTTCCTGTCTTTGATTTTATTTCGTTTATTTAATTTACCTTTGTTTAGCTTGAATGTACCAATTCAGCTAAGTTGATTTCATTTAAATCTGAGATATAATTAAATCAATTTGTTAATTCATTTTTCCTTTTAGTTTCCTACGGCTATTAGGATCTTTTGGTTTTACTTTTACCATATTTTAGTTTGTTTGACCATCACCATCTTCCCTCTCGGTATAGGATTGTAGCAGTTCTAGCAGCTGTTGTATCCTTAATGAGCCGTACAGGTTATTAGTAGCCTTAATTCCAGTCTCTGCTCTACCCCTCCTTACTCCTCAGCACCAGGCCTATTACACAAGCTACAGTTACCATTCATTATGCTACAGGCCCCTGAGAAGACTAGAAACACTTCCTATTATTTCTGTTTATGTACCTTGAGGTGTTTGATGTGCCCCTGCTAGCTTAGCTAACAGACCCCCTAAGTTTATGACCCTGCTGCAGCATTCCTTTGAATGAGTGACAACTGCTTAGTCATATCTCCTAGCTTAAACTAAATAAGGCAAGCCCTTCCTTCTCTCTCGGTCTCTTTCTGATTTTATTTCAGTTTTGTTTTATCTGATACCTTCATAGTGACCAAACCTGTGAACCATCAGTGCTTTGAGTAATAGTTTGACCACACGTATAGCCCGGTCCTTAGCTGACCCCTGCTTACAGCCCCTCAACAAAGTTACTCAAACTCTCTCTTTGTGTTCACGAACACAAAAACATAGCACCCTACCTCACTCCATTCACCAAGATTCTCTGACTCAAACTGGTTCTTTTTCATCAACCAACTTCAGCAAAGATCAACTTGAACCTCCAGATTGCATCATGCCTCTTTCAGACAGACGTACGTGCAAGTATCAGTCTTAGTCTTATTAATACAAAGGTGTTTGAACTGTAGGATCCTGGCCTTCAAGATATTGAAACCCTTGAATCTATAAACAGACACAAACGAACATTGAATCTCTACATTCCACCGGGAAAACTAAAGGTTCTTCTCCCCAGCCATCTGCAGTCATAAAACTACTTACAGGGTCAGCTCAGGGTGGACTGTTTCAGTTCTTTCTGAACCATGTCAAGCACCTCTTTAATGTTGCAGAATTGCTGAGTCAGGGTTTGGACTTCAGCTCTGGCTGCATGCAGATGGCCTTCTAAGGCCTTATCTCTAGTGTCTCTCTCATTAAGTTCCACATTCGCTGTTTTTAACAGTGACTTTGTGTGAAACGGTTCTCTTTCTACGTCCTGTCTGATGGCTTTTTCCAGCTGCACTCAGTGTCCAAAGCCTTCTGCTTGACACTTCACAAGTCAGTTTCCTGGAAACCTCTGCAGCCGCAGCAGGAAAAGGATCAATTCAGACAAACTCTAAAATGACACATGGAGTAACACTCAAAGACCTCAACTGAATGGCCAGAAACATCCCTGCATTCACACCAGAACGTTCAGGAGACCACGATGTCCACGCTTACCTGCAAGACATTGACTTTTACCTGCAGTCTTGGACCAGTGTGAGCCACCACGATAGACTCTATCTGCTCTGGATCACCTCTAGCCCAGAGGTACGACGCTTCATGGCTCGACAGCCAGGACACATCCAATGAGACTACCAGCGGCTTAAACAAGCCATCATAAAGGATTTCTCAGACCCAGACTCTGAACACGGACTGATATGCACGCTCCGCCTTGCAAGAAGCCGATTGGAAGATAGCGTCAGGGGACGGACTTATGCCACAGAGCAAAAACCCAATGCAAGACAGATTAGCTTGCTTGCTGCTTCTCCTGCTCTCGCCTGTCGCTGTGTTAGAGCACGCCACGTGTGCTCACGCGCTTACCATCAAAAGCAACTTACCACATCTCAAACTCAAACACTTCAGTGATACTTCGTTGAAATCTTCAAAGAACTTAAAGTCGTGCAAACTAAGACTTTCAGCA